TTGGCAACTGGGTGGCGCTATAACAACAGAAAAATGCTTAAAAATGGCTAAAATGCGACCGATCGCTGTGGCTCCCCCTGTGGCCGAATGTTTTGGGGGGTTTTTTCTATTTTTTGCTATGACTAAGTCATGATATGGTATGCTGTACATAATCACAGAAACTGTCAGTGTGTCATTCTATCAGTGCGCCCCACTTTTAAGTCAATACAACACATAAACACTTTAACTATCTGCCTTTCAACGTGCTACCTCAACTACTAATGTACAGTTTTAGCCCACTAACTATCCCACTATTGGCAATGGTACTACTGTACTTTAAATAAAGCAATCATACTATCAAATTCACAAAACCTCTGTCTGAATACATCGCTCTTCTTAATGGGTTCAGTTGACTATTTAATCTGCAATTTCCTATGACCTGTATCCCAAATACACACCATGTGAAACTGTATGTGGGCAACTGTGCACTCAATGGGTATGGACTAGTTATACTAAAATTATGCACTTTACAGGTGGTGAGGCAGAATGTGACAGGCCTTCAGTGGATGGCCAGTGAAGCCTGGACTGCAGCTGCTGTTCTCCAGACTCCACGTCTAATGCCGTACCTGGGTGGCACTCTGGGCATTGCCATCCGCAGAGGAGAAATACCAGGGCTCAGGGATTTTCTGTTAAGAATACGTCCTGACCTACATGACAGTAATAATTTTGGCCATAGCATGGTAAAGTTGTACCCTTATTATCAGATCTGTAATCAGAGTAATTAATATTGTTATTTCTGTTAAGACTTTGTTTTAAATACATTTCAGGTGAGGCAGTTTTGGGAGCAGACGTTCCAGTGTAGATTTGCTTCACCTCCAGCAGGTTGGATGGAGGCTGGGGAAGAACCGTGCACTGGTGATGAAGACCTAGAGAGTGTGGAGACTGAGTTTTTGGATGTTTCTAACCTCAGGCCTGAGTACAATATTTACAAGGCTGTGTATGCCCTGGCATATGCCCTTGATAACATGCTGCAGTGTGAGCCAGGGAGACGACCTTTCAGCAGGCACAGCTGTGCCACTCTGCAAACATTGGAACCATGGCAGGTGTGATATCAGCTTACACTCCACCTGTTTAGTTTTTGAAAACAGCTGCTACATCCTAAGGTACTTACTGACATATATATTCATTTGGGGAAATGAAGACAATTTCAACTATGGCATTAGTAGGTTAGTTTTAATATTTTGTCTTTGAGTAGAGGGCAGAATCTTTAAGTTGCAAGACAAAATAAAGTTCCTTTTATTTTGTATGTGACAAACATAATTACTTAATGGCAACAGTGGTTAATGACATTTAGAGAGCTCACATTTTCATGTTTTTAGGATAGACTAATTCACCAGTCTATCACAAAGATAATCTTAAACCATATGCACAGTCAGGAACAGTATTGTTTTTTTTTCAAGTCTCCTTGTCACAATACTTATCTATATTGTAACCCTTTGTAGCTCACATATTACTTGCAAAAGGTCAACTTCACTACACCATTTGGTGATCAAGTGTCATTTGATGAGAATGGTGATGCCTTACCAATATATGATATCATGAACTGGCTGTGGCTCCCTAATGGAAGAACTAAAGTTCAGACTGTGGGGGTTGTTAGGAAGTTGGCCTCCAAAGGTGAAGAGCTCACACTTGATGAAGACAAAATCTTCTGGAACTTTGAATTCAAACAGGTTTCTTATTTAAATTGATTATTTGACCTTGTATGACACACAAGAATAGAATTTAACAGTGTGGAGTAAATGTGGTATAACTCTGACAACCCCTACAGCCACCCCGATCAGTGTGCAGAGAGAGCTGTCCTCCAGGAACTCGCATGGCCAGGAAAAAGGGGCAGCCTGTGTGCTGTTTCGACTGTGTCCCTTGTTCTGAGGGAAAGAGCAGTAATGAAACAGGTTGGTATCATTATAAAATTATGTTATAAAGTGGAATATGAAATTGTATTTGGGAATCTTTTTGGTGCCCAGGCGATGGAGACAAAGATGCAGCTTCCCACCACTGCAGACATCACAGTTCCAATTCCTGGCATAGATGGCCCATCCAACATAACTGTCAGTATTTACAGGAGGGAGTGGCATTATTTTAAATGCTCTGTTCCCCTGTTTTCTTAGACTCCATGGAGTGCACCAGTTGTCCAGAGGACTTCTGGTCCAGTGCCCAGCGAGACCACTGTGTTCCTAAGAAAACAGAGTTCCTGTCCTATCATGAGCCTCTGGGTATCTGCTTGACAGCCGCCTCACTGCTGGGCACATTTATCTGTGCTGTTGTCCTTGTAATCTTCATCTATCATCGCAGTACACCTATGGTACGTGCCAACAATTCAGAACTGAGTTTTCTGCTCTTGGTGTCACTGAAGCTATGTTTCCTGTGTTCTCTGCTGTTTATTGGACGTCCCAGGCTGTGGACATGCCAACTAAGACATGCAGCATTTGGGATCAGTTTTGTGCTTTCTGTTTCTTGTATTTTGGTAAAAACCATGGTGGTTCTGGCTGTGTTCAAGGCTTCCAAGCCAGGAGGTGGAGCCAGCCTGAAATGGTTTGGTCCTATGCAGCAGAGAGGAACAGTTCTGGTTCTTACTTCTATTCAGGCAGCAATCTGCACTGCTTGGCTTGTCTCTTCCTCACCAGCTCCTCATAAAAACACTCAATACCACAATGACAAGATAGTTTATGAGTGTGTAGTTGGGTCCACAATTGGTTTTGCAGTGTTGCTAGGTTACATTGGCTTACTGGCTATCCTCAGCTTCCTGTTAGCATTCCTGGCAAGGAATCTTCCAGATAACTTTAATGAGGCCAAACTCATCACTTTCAGCATGCTGATCTTCTGTGCAGTGTGGGTGGCCTTTGTCCCTGCTTACGTTAACTCTCCAGGAAAATATGCAGATGCAGTTGAGGTATTTGCCATCCTGGCCTCCAGTTTTGGCCTCTTGGTGGCACTGTTTGGACCCAAATGTTACATTATCCTGTTGAGACCAGAGAGGAACACAAAGAAAGCAATCATGGGTCGCGGAACTAAGTCATAAAATCAGCACTTAAAGTAAATTCATCAAGTCATCTGACCCGCTCTGAATTTTGTATTCAAAAGATGAAATTAGAAGCAATAAAAAAAGCTAATAAAAATGAGTCTTACAATATTATTATTATTTAAATTTTGGTATGTTCATTAATTTTAACATTCCTTGGGATGCTCCAAATTCCCAGCCACTCCTTCCACCTATGACCTAAGACCTTTGACATGTCCTTCCACATCCCAGGAACCCAGGTTTCCAATTTCAAATGAAGCAAAAATGTCCAGAGTGGCTTATTTCACCCCATATATTTTTCTTTAGCCTCAATTTGTATTTGAGTCCTTTCAAATCTATCCAAAACAACATAAATTGTAGATAAGTTTACCATGCATCTCCACAGGACCTACTTTTCACCATGTCAGGCACAGTTGAAACACACTTCTGGTTCCAACACCACCTCATTTCATTAACAAATCTCTCTGCTGCATTCTCAGGCTTCTACTCCATCAGCTGACCCTAAGTGTCACTCTATATTAATCCAACCAGATTCTGCCACAATGTCTCCCAAACCAATCATATTGTTTCTGTCTTTCTATATGTTAATCAGAGCCACTATATTGTGTGATTCCACCCAATATACATATTTTGTATGATAGTAAAACTACTGTTGGTTCTGGCTGTGTTCAAGGCCTTCAAGCCAGAAGGTGAAGCCAGTCTGAAGTGGTTTGGTGCTGTGCAGCAGAAAGGAACACTGCCGGGGTCTCATTTATAAAACAATGCGTAGAGTCCATACTAAAAATGTATGTACAAACAAAAGCCAAAAACGGTGTGCCCCCAAAAGTATTCGACAGTTTGTACTATCAGGCTTCCATTTCACCATCTACATTGTGAATTTCCCATCTCCAAAATATTTGTAAGCATTGGTCAAAGTTTCTCTCATCAAGACTGTTTTTTATACCACAACATTGCATGGGAAGTGGCATACGCCTATACAGGCCTCTTTTTGTGCATACACAGTTTTTATAAATGGGACCCCTGGTTCTTACTTTTCTTCAGGGACCAACCGGCACTGCTTGGGATTGTCTTTGCCTCACAAACTCCAAATAAAAACACTCAATATTACGGTGACGTTTTTGTTGGTGAGTGTGTCATTGGATCCACAGTTGGCTTTGCAGTGTTACTGGGCTACTTGGCTTACTGGCTATCCTCAGCTTCCTGTTAGCATTCCTGGCAAGGAATCAACTTCAGTGAGACTAACTTTATCACTTTTAACATGCTGATTTTCAGTGCTGTGTGGGTGGCAAATTTGCAGATGCAGTGGAGGTATTTGCCATTCTGGCCTTCAGTTTTGGTCTCTTGGTGGCACTGTTTTGACCCAAATGTTACATAATCCTGCCAACACCAGAAATTAACACACACAGTGAGTCATGGAACCACCACACATAAAAGTCCTTGAAGCAACCTTGTGAAGAAAGTGAAAGCAACAAAGATGTTTGTATGAAACTCTTTCTTAAGTTCTTTATTTTTGCCTGTTTTGCTTCATCATGTTCCCTACTATTTGAGAAACGCTGATAACTTTGATAGACTTTGCTTCAGATTTTACCAGAGCAAGACTCAAAGATTAAATCAAAGATTAAATCAAACCACTTTTATGTGACAGTTGTATTTGTTCTAGTACCCCACAAAGGATTATTGAAACTTTGAGGAAGCTACTGTCCATCTCCATACAGTGTGAACTGATGAATTAATTCACTGAATACCATTGTTAGTGCTCGCTTCTGCAAGTGATTCATTTGCATAAATGAACAGTAACAGACAGATGGAACAACCTTAATGGGTTCTTGTCTCTGTG